GCTATGTGTTTGCTGAACTGCACACAAAGCTGCATTATTTAGCCAGTTGTTGGTGCTATCATTTTTCTTTTTCTTTTTTTTTTAAATATTCCCCGTTTAAAACTGACAGAAGGCCCCCATGTCTTTTATATTAAAACGGTCTCTGGGTATTTTGCCGTTTCACCTGGATGTGCATTTTGTATCAGCCACAGGAGCCCCTGTATTGATTCAAACAGATACCAAATGATGAAAGACACCTTCTTATTACCTAAGCTGCGTCAGATTAGCAAGCTTCTTTCGCTGCACACAGCTCGAAAGCCTTCTAACAGTGTGATCCATATAAGCATATCAACTGCTTCTACGCAGTATGTGCAAAAAAGCTTAAGAGAAATACACTGATATTGATGGCTTATCAGAACTCAAGGATAAAGCATACAATAGGGTGACTTGTAAAATCCTTGAAGGCATTGAAAAGTTAAGCAGGTCTTGGAGTAGGTCGGTAAAATCTCAAATGACACAGCATTGCATTTATTCTAAAATCTTTTGTTTGAAATGTCATTAAGCACTACATTAACTCCCCTTTGATGTTGGGGGGTTTGTAGGCCTTGACTTCCATTGCAATTCCCTCCAACACATGTTCTATTATTACACAAACACTTCTTTTCATCTACCTTACATCTTGATGCAGAGATAAGACATAACCAAACATTGAAAATAGACAGCGAAGGTTGAAATGAGTCAGAGAAACCGCAATGAACTACAAAAGTCACCAATATATACCCCAGGATCCTCTCCTACAGTGCACTGGTGTAGGTAGTTATAGTAGATGCCCGAATAGAAAGATGGGCCCTGATTAGTCCGGGTGGGGAAATACAGGGCTAAACACTTTCAGATAAAACATGTTCTGAGCAAATATGCCGATAATTCGACTCGGTTGAATTAAACATCACATACTCCTTTCACTGATTCATGTCCACATTCGACTCCAACCCGGGAGTATGGAGCACATAGGACTAGTTCACTGACAGAATCAACTCAATAGACTGGGAGGGGGGGGGGGGGGGGGGGGGGTCGGTCGAGGAGAACTAGGCAGTGTATTGCAGGATGAATAAAAAATGAAAGTGTAGTGCTTCAGTAAATTCGCTCTCTCCATCCCGTGAGGAGGGGGAGGGGGTGCTGGTGGAGTAGAGGCTTGTTTGAAAACTGAATGCTGCATTCCCACATCCACCCATATCCAGCAAGGGGCTCTTTAAAAATTCATTAATTTACAGCAAAAATAGATTAAAGCACCCAGCTGAGCAAAACTCAAAATGTGGCTCCGGAATAACATTAATGATAAAACATCTCCCTCAAGCCTGGAGGGGGGGGGTTCGCCTGAAGAAAGAGTACTGGCTTCTTTCACCTTACAGCACCTTGAGAATAATTTATTTTCAATCATTACTAAAATAATGCATTTCTAATTGTCATTTTTAATTACGCTTTTCTTGGGATGGGAAAAAAAGGGGCAGAGGAAAAACCTGCATAAACTAATTAAAATCCATCCAAGGATCTGCCATTCCCATGATGCCATGCCAATGTCATTCTATTCACCATTTGATATTTCAGCTACAGAGACTCAATGACAGCTGCTCCAGGCTCCCCAAAAACGCAGAGAACTGCAGTTACAGTAATTGCTCTGGCCAGCACTAAATGAGGTTCACTTAAGTGCAATTATCCCCCTCTGATCTCTCACATAAAGAGACTTCTTTAACATGGAGAAGTGGGCTCACACAATGTGACTGCAAACAAGATTCAAATTGGAATCAGGGAGGCATTTCCAGCAGATGAATGGCTTCATAGCTCATCTGCATTCTAGTGATGCACAGCGTTGCTAATGAAGACTGAGCCAGACCTTTCTCCCCAACACAGCGAGAACAAAACCTCCCACTGGATATAAAAGCACAATGCGGGGAGACATTTCTAACAAATGTGTCCAGTCATTTGGCCTGGGCTGCATTAGAGGTCACCTAGCCTCCATGCAGAGTTAACAGCGGAAAAGAAAAAAAATATCCAGTGTTGTTTTTGCCCAATCCAAGGGGAAAATGCACTTGATGATGGGCGATGAGGTAAAACGAACGAAACCCCCCAACCTGAAATAACGCTACATTTCACAGCAGAGAGGAATGTATGCCACTTTGGATTGCGACCAAAAATAATTGTAAAAAAAACTAGAGAGAGGGCTTTGAACAACAGCATCACGGCTACGCATTGCCAAAAAAATATAAATATATATCAGACGTCCTCATGAATAAATTGCCATCTGCCAATGGCTTAACACAATAGGTTTTCTGCCTAAAGGGTTAAGATATGGCAGGTCTAATAGGGGTTGCTACAGAGAGTACCTGTTGGGTGCAGTCCAACAACACAGGGTGGTGGGGGGGGGGGGGGCTGTGATGGGCGTTCATATTGCCACAGGCAGAACTACCACCAGGAGTCTGATAACTGCATCTCACGGATGGCCATTTGAATAATCACTTCAACAAGGGGAGAAATTAAAAAGCCTCTCAGTGAGAAGGGGCTAGGGACCACATGCTGAATTCCAAATGAGGAGCTTTTCCGATGTAGAAAAACTGTTCTGAAGTCCCTCTACTATACTGGCACGCTGACCCTTGCCACCCATCCAAATGAGCTTCATATCATGTCACTATTCTATTAAATATATTAATTATACTATCACCTTACAGACGATGACAGAGTATTTTTTTATTCAGGGATGATAGATGAATGTTCTAACTGGCGCCATACACAAAACACAGGAAGACCTGGAGATAAAGGTGTTTTTAAACCATTAGGCAAAAGACTGCTCAGAGCACTGCAGGCCAAAACCACCATTAAAGAGAGGCTGTATCACATCCTCCCATCCACACTTTTAAATGCTTACTGTAAGGATAAACAGATGTGTGATCTTCTCTATGTTATATTCTCCACTGTTTAATCCAAAGATTTTTTTAAAGCAGGTGACCCATAAAAAATGTAAAAAGGTAACACTGTTCAATTTAATTTGATGAGAATAGCAAATAACCACTACTACAGCGGCTTAAAGCGGACCGAAAACATGCCAAATCTAGCCTTTAAGTCAAAACACCTCGAGTCATGATCAAAACTGAATAATTACATCGCTAATGGAATTGAAAGGATGCTATAAGTCTAATGAACAAATTCTAAAAAAGGTGTGTGGGCCGTATTCATGTTTCTGCACACAGTATGTAAAGGAAAGCCAGCAGCGGCTGCAGTCCAGGTCTATTGTCTTACAGCCAGGCAGCATACAACAGCAAAATGTCACTTCCGATGTCCACGCCAATTATTCCACTGCAGCGTTTCACATAGTTTTTCAGTAGACATTATTGCTTGTAAAACACTCTGAATTTCATGATGGCATCAACGATTTAGACTTTTCCTGTGAAGGAGTTGGGGTGTATTTGCATGTTATACGGAGCTAGGGACCCTGTAATAAAATGCCAATTCATATAAACTGCACATGGAGCTTTACAGAGAACAGCAGTAGGACAATTCAAAGAATAAGACAGAACAACCAGGTACTAGAAAATAATATATATAAAGCTATTCTGGCTCTGCTTACCTGGAATGGGGGAACATGACAACTCAAACACCATGTGTCTTTCTAAAGCTGCATGCACAGATATTCTGATCCAGACAGCTCGCTGTAGGCCTGCTATTTAAAGGATGGGTGATTAAGCAAACCAGGTCTGACCTTTGATTGTGGGAGCTGACTAACGCTATGGGCATTTTGTTAGTTGAAGCAAAACGTCTGGCAGGGTCAGGTTATTTTTGGGGGAATTTATAATGGTTTGTTTTAGTCATAAATTGAATAAAATTGGGAGTATGATGTGATAATATTCTCAGTCGGTTCAGTCGCTAAAACAACAACGTGACTTCATTGATAAAACTTGCACAAGTTGACAGCGGGGCATATTAAGAGTGCAGTCATCCATCGTCTAATAAAGGCCGTTAGGAGAAGGCAAGGGCACCGTTTTGTATACAGCTGCACGCAAATGCCACAGCTATTTAGTTTAAAGTCGTAGCGTTAACTAATCAGTGCATCACACACCAACTGGTGAAACATCAAAGCAGAGAGACATGCCCTGAGAGATGTCTTGCACTGCAGGTCCAAATGTTAAACTGCAACACAGTCTGTACCATCTCAGGGCAATCCACAAGGGTATGCCACCAGAGGCAAAGACACAGTCCGAGGTTACATTCAGTTGCAGACAATTCACCTGAAATATGCTTTGCACTTGTTGATTGTCCAGCCACATGACAGACCTGCGCCTTCTCATAAAGATCGACTAGTTTTCCATACGAAGATCATTATTTTCTAGAGGAATTTACCAGCCGCCTGAGAAACAGACGATTGACAGACGAGAAAACACACTGCAACAGCTGTGAGTCAAATACCATCAGAGCATGCAGGAAAGGCAAATGACACTAGGTTTATACACACACAGTCACACACAGTCAGTCACACAGTCACACAGTCACACAAACAAAAAAAGCTAGCTAACGATAGCTGTTGGAGGGCTGAGATAGGTCATTATATCCACCTATTGCGAGGGAAAAACACACGCACACACCTAGTCCTGGCCCAGGAGAAAACACCGACAACGCTCAGCTAAAGTTAGCTGGCTACCAAAACTGGCTAGCTAGCTGTCAAAGTTGCCCTGTCAGTTGTCACCGGTTGCACGGCGGTGCTAGCAGCGGGCTAACGCCAGAGCTGTCAACTTGGAGAGTTACAACAACACGGCCGGGGTGTACTAACACTGACCACGGGGAAACACGGACTGCCTCTCTGAGAAAAAAGGTGTCCCCCGCACCGCACGCCCCGCCACGGCGAGCGGAAAGCCGTGTGCCAAGGCCTGTTCCCCGGGCTCAATCCCCACAACTTCAGTGCAGCTCACTTCCCCGCTAAAGTCGTCCATTTCGTGGGCCTTAGTTCAACTTCCATGCCCGTGTAGCTCACTTACTCTGGGTGAAAGCTTGCTGTGACGGCGGCTGTCTGTTAAATCCTGTCGGTAGTTTGAGAGTAACTGCCCCCTCCCCTTCCTTCCACCTCCTCTTCTTCTTCAGCTCGCAGGGGCTCCCCAGGAGGGTCCTGTGTTATTGACGTTACCGTCCTGTGCAAAAGAAGCGCTGTAGCCTTAGCTTCACCGGTGAGCCCGCGGTGCCGTGGTGTCCCTCTTCAGCTACTCTCCGCCTTCTCCCGTTCGCCTTTCTCTCGGCGGCCGAGCCAACATCCGGGACTCTCCCCCCCGTTTGGTAAGTGCCCGGAACTACTTTCCCATACGACGACGCACATGAAGGTTTATTTTCTCCCTCTCTAACCACCCCTGCCGCCACAGAAACTAGCGCGCGGTGTACGCACGAGCCCCAGACAGTGTTGTAAAGTAACTATGTAGATTTACTAATCTACTGTAATTAAGTACACATCTGAGGTACTACTACGTTACTTGGGTATTTCAATTGTGTTGCTACTTTGTACTCCTGCCCCACTATAAATTAAGAGGCAAATAGTGTACTATTACCTTTTGTTACTTTGTAGATATGGATCAATGATTAAAAAACAAACAAACACTTAAATAAAACTTGAGTTACACCTAGATTCAATTCACATGCTACCCATAATTAAAAATGGTTCCACTTTAACAAGATTGATAAAAACATTAATACATAAAAAAAAGAAAACATATAATATATGATTCTGAAATGGGCCAATCTGCATAATGAGTACTTTTACTTTTGGAACTTTAAGTACATTTAGATGCCAATACTTTAGTACTGTTACTTGAGTAACATTTTGAATGCAGGACTTTTATTTGTAACAAAGTAATCATACACTTAAGTATAGTACAAGATCTGAGAACTTGTTCCACCAAACACGCGCTTGTCTATCAACAGTGTTAGAGGAAGTACTCAGATATATAAGTAAAAGTAAAAGTAGTGATACCAAAGTGTATAAATACTTAGTTACAAAAAAAGTCCTGCATTCATAATCAAGTTAAACTAGGCCTATATCAAAAACATTAGAAACAAAGTAATAATTGTGCATATATATTTCAGAATGATTTAATATAATTGGATTATAATTATGTAATCCCTTTATTGTAATAGATGGTGAACGAATGTTACTTAATGTATACTGCTTTGTAGAATATATTATGATAGACACTACATTATAAGTTGATTTGTAATGTATTAGCAATAAGATTATGTAAAGAAACTAAAGTTATTAAATAATTGCAGTGGAGTAGAAAGTACATTATTTGCTTCAGAGATGTTATGGAGTAGAATTATAAAATAGCAGCAATTTGAAATAATCAATAGGCAAAATTTCAAGTGCCTCAAATTTATATTTAAGGACTCAAGTAAATGTACTAGGTTGCACTTCACCAGATCCTATCAATAAATCTATTGATTAAAAAAAAGCGCTTATTTCAAGGAGCATTGTAACTGAATATAACCCAACACGGTTAATATCTTAGGACATAACCTTTTTAATAAAGAAGGAAGAAGCACACAAGTTCTTAAAACAGTGTTACAGAATAAAGGGAAAGAAGTCCACATGGGGGCCACTGTGCAATGAGTCACCTCTTGTAAAAGGTTTTACAAGTTATAATTAAAGGCTAATAAATCATTTTAATTTTCCAGTTACAAGCCAGGAGAACTTTTGGGTTGTCAGGTTTGTTAAACATATCTGTGACTGGTGTCCTTCTTGGTACAATGCATATTAAAGTATATTAGATGATGTTAAAATATGAATACGTTACTTGAGGTGCTCACACTTTCTAATAAGCGAAATTGAAGTCTGCAGTTATACGTGTAAGAGTCATGGAGACTATCTGATCATGGGTTTTTTCTTTCTTCATAATAAAATTCTAGCTTTAATCTAACAACCAACATCTTTGTGAACCACTGTGGTTTTTCTGATTAAATAAAAGACATGCTCCACTGGCAGATAAACAGCTTAGAAGAATTTATTTTGAATTTGACCACCTGGCTACCTAAAAGGTGTTCCCTCTATAATCTATTTAATTGATCTGTCATTAGTGAAATCTTAGTTCATTGACCACTAATAAATCTATTAGTAATAACTTACAAACATTTTAATAACGGGAATTATCTTAAAGTTGTACAGATAAGAAAAAACGTATACAGAAGCTGATAAAGGATTAAGTATTCTAGTCCATGATCTAAAAAGATCTCTAAACTACGCCATCCACTAAATGCAGTTTGAAATAATGTCCTAAGTTATTTTATTGCCTAAAACAACAACAATTAATTAAATAGGTTATATTTCCCTCACCATGTCTAACTCTTTATTGAACAGTGGAAACTGAATTCAAGGTAACTTAATATACCTCTACATTACCGGATTACATTTTTTTATTTTTGTCAAGGACATGACCATCCTTAATGTCCTCACTGGACAGTGAGGTCTAGTGAGGTCTAGTGAGGTCATGCTGACCTGTCTTCATTTTGTTGTCTTATCTCCTATAATAGAGTTACAGGTTTTATTTGATATGTTCAGTTAAATTATCAATTTTGAATACTAGTAGGATATCTGGTGTATAAAATAAGTTTAAGTAAAGTAGCAGGGACGATGGATGTGTTATCTCTATTTATAGCCAATGTATCTTTGTAGTTTCATTTATATTCTACAATCTTATCTTTTTCGTATTTTATTGACTTTTGGCCATTTTATATTTTACCGTGGTGATTTTGTTTTTATAAAAGTAAACATGCATGTCCACAAATTGAGTGGAATCTAATCTAGTTAGTGGACCAAATCAATCTACGCATTAAAGAAAGCAGCCATGCTTAAGTGATGTGATCGACTCTTCAGCAGGGCAACAGCGCCTCCTGTGGGTCATTCAGGGAGCCTACAGCATTTATTTGTTCAAATGAAATTATGAAACACATTTCGACCTTTTATGTAGCCTCTCTAGTGGGGACATGTTTCATTTTGTAAGGTAACAAGCAGTGGTGGAACAAGTATTCAGATCCATTACTTGAGTAAAAGTACCAATAAATGATTGTCAAAATACTTCATTACAAGTAAAAGTCATGCATTCAAAATCTTACTTAAGTAAAAGTACAAAAGTATTATCAGCAAAATGTACTTAAAGTATAAAGAGTAAAAGTAATTATTGTGCCAAAATATATATTTCTAGTGACATTTCTAGATAATATTGTTGCATCAAGGAGCATTTTACTGTTGTAGTCAAACAAAGTTCTGGTTTACTTTTTTCGTAATCATTTGACTATTTTTCCCTTTACAGTTCCTCATTATTGTACTTAAGTATAGCACTGGTGTAAAGGTACTTAGTTACTTCCCACCTCTGGTTACAAGTCATATCCAGAATAAAACTAAATATAGGCCAAAGACATAAAAAAGAAAAAGGCCTAAATTAAAATGCCACATGACAACCAAATAGGCATCTGATTATTTTGTATAAACAAGAGTATGAATCTACAATATTGGACTATTGGCAAGAAGAAAGAAGTCTTACTGCATTTCATTTGTGTATCTGTAATTATAGATGTGAGTCATGAGTGATACTATAGAACTGTTCTAAAAACTGATTTCCATAATACAAAACTTATCATAAATATAAAACAACCAGATCAGCAGCAACACTTCAAGATGTGTGTTGCCATTATGAAACTCACTGACTCAGAGGGTTAGTCAAGGTGAAAAGATCCGCTTTAAGAGAAATCCCTCTCTGCCCCATGGGAGTCTGTGTGTTGGTGATGTTAATTAATTAAGAGTAACACCTCATTGAAAGTGAGAATAGTAATTGACGCACGAGTCGACACTATTTAACCTGCGTGGGTGCAGTGCAGTTTAAGGCCACTGGGGGCGCTGAAGGTTTTCTTCTCTGTTTTATTAAGAGCAACCAAATCAGCTCAGTGGTTTCAGGAAGTGCAGAAGTTGTTGTGAAGCTGACTGACATCAACCTCGGAATCGAAAGTAGGGCATTTCGCAGTTTAGTGAGTATATTGTGGTAAAGCAAATGTGTTTTTTATTAAGGCTGTTGTCACGGTGGCAAATTACTGTATAATAGCAAGCAGCTCAGCGGTGTGCATCGTGTGTAAAATGACTCACCACCTGTCATATTACTGATCATTTGCCTATACAATTCAGAAAACCTTGAATAGGCTGTGTGTCCTTCAGTGAATCAGCCGCCAGACGGTCTAGGTTCACCTGATAAGTTTACTGACTGTAGCATTTATGCATACTGTGATCAGAGGTGGAAGAAATATTCAGGTCCTTTGCTTTAGTAAAATGACTAATACTACTCTCTGAAATTACTCCACAAAAAGTCCTGTATTATTCCTGTACACTACTTTACTATTGCACAAGTTTAATAACACAATCCAACTTTTAAAGCATGGTATTTAATTCCTGAATCTGCCAGTGGGACATAAATGTAACAGTAAGTTATGTTCATTCTACCAGTGGTGTAAAGTAACTAAGTACATTTACTCTAGTGTACTTGCGTACAATTTTGAGGTACTTGTACTTTATTTGATTATCTCCCATTTCTGCTTCTTTGTACTTCTACTCCACTACAATTAGAGGTAAATGGTGTACTTTTACTCCTATACATGTATTTAATACCTTTAGTTACTTTGCAGATGTTGATTATTGATTTAAAACATAATCAACGATTAAATAAGACTTTAGTTACACCTGGAGTAAATTCACAAACTATAAAATAATACAAAGTAGTTCCACCTTTACCAGCTTTGATAACAATTTAATGCATCAGTAATTATAATCAAAACAAATAATATGTAATATTCAGAAATGGACCAATCTGCATAATGAGTACTTTTACTTTTGGTATACTTATAAGTATATTCTGATGCTAATACTTTTGTTCTTTTACTTGAGTAACATATGAAAAGCAGGACTTTTACTAACAGATTATTCCTGCACTGTGGTACTTCTACTTTTACTTAAGTACAACATTTGAGTACTTCTTCCACCTCTGCATTCTATTATAGGAGGGACTTGATGTTCTCTGAAATTAAGTTATTGACTATAAATCACTATTGGCAATCAGCCATAATGACTTGGAAAAGATCACAATATGGGCACAAATCCATGTTGTGCATCCCTAAAATAATGGTCAAATCAATGCAGTAGAGACACAAATATCCAGATGTCCAGTCCCTGGTATGACACGCTGCTCCAAATTCACTGGATATGACCTTTACCATATAGCCACCCAAAAGACTTATCAAACTTCTTGGCTTGTAAGTCTGCAAGGCCCAAGTTTGTCAAACTTTCTGTTAAAAGACATGTGTGGGAACCAAGCCCAAACTGAGCATATGTTCTCAAATGTTTACTTTGCACTTAGGATTTAATGCTTTGTTTAACTTGGCTGAAGCTGTGTCTGATTTCTACTATATTCTACCCATTACATTTTTCTTTCTTAAACTAAGAAAGCTCCCTCCAGACCCACAAAAGACCTTATACAACCGGTTTAACAGGCCGGCAAAATGGATGTTAAAATCCAAAAGAACCGGTTTAACAGGCAGGCAAAATGGATGTTAATATCCAAAAGTTCCCCATTAAACACAGACCTAACATAAACCTTACTGACTGATCACAACTCTATTCTTTACATTACATTACATGTCATTTGTTAGACGCTTTTATCCAAAGCGACTTACATACATTCACTACTGTGGACAATCCCCACAGGAGCAAGTTGGGGTGAAGTGTCTTGCCCAGGGACACAACGACATGCTGACTGCAGTGGGACTCAAACTTGCTATCCCCTGATTCGAAGTCCAGCACACCTTCCACTGAGCCACAGCCTCCCATCCTCCTATTCTAAATCCTCTTTCCTGATGATCCTTTTATTTTGTCAGTTCAAGTCTGATTTTTTTTGCATCACAGCAGCTCCATTTTCAACATCAACGACAAACCTTAAGACAAGAAACAATGGAATAACATTCAACATTAAAATCCCTATGATGCCCTCTCTCTCATCAGGTGATGGCTAATCCCAGAGTATCTTCCATCGATGGGAAGTTGGCAGAAGAATTTGCCGTCCCCTGCCATGTTGATGAGGTTAAAGAGAAGATGGCAGCTTTCGCCAGTCTACACGCTGCAGCGGGTCGCAGAGTGGTTCTCATCACATCAGGAGGAACCAAAGTTCCCCTAGAGTCCCGCACTGTCCGCTTCCTAGATAACTTCAGCAGTGGCAGGCGAGGAGCCTCTTCAGCGGAGTATTTCATGGACTCAGGCTACGCAGTCATCTTCCTGCACAGGCATCGCTCCCTCTACCCCTACACACGGGTGTTCTCTACCATTAACATGCTGGATGCCCTGATGTTCAGAGGGGAAGAAGAAGCTTCCTCTGGTGAAGTGGTGGTTAACCAGCAGGTGCTTCCCAACATTGCCAAAGCACTGAAGAGATATCAGGAAGTGAAAGAAAGCAACCTCCTTCTGCCAATCGAGTTCAGCACTCTGTCAGAGTATCTGCATCTTCTTAAAGCAGCAGCACAGGCACTCAGCGCTATAGGTACAGATTAACAATTTACTACAGGTTGAATGTGTGGCTTTTGTCAAGCGTATTGCTCATAACTCCCTATTCTGCACATACTGTAGGACCAATGGCCATGTTTTACTTGGCTGCAGCTGTGTCAGATTTCTATATCCCAGCATCTGAGATGCCCGAACACAAAATCCAGTCTTCTAATGGACCTCTTCAAGTAGGTGAAAAAACATTCAAAACTTTTTTTCCAGCCTTGCAAGAATCACGACTCAAGGGGTGGCAATGTCTGTTTGTAAATTAAGCTCCAATCCTCTCTGTGGCTAAGAACAGCCTAAAAGAGCTGCTAGCATGGTTGTTCTGTGACATTCTTTAAGAATAACCCCCCCAAAATAAGTCTCTGAAGTAAATAGAATGGCATGTATCAACAGAAAATCTATATCAAAACATCCGACTACATGCACACCGTTGTAAAACACATGCATTTTTGTGAATGTGTTTATGTGGAAGTGTTTTAAAATAGTATGTTTGTAAAGTTGTGAGCATGACTAGATCAATGATTTGGATGCAAGATTTGAGTTTGTTAACAGATGTTTTTATATAGTTTTGCTGTTGATAAAAACATCCTGGTTCATCCAGCCAGATTTTTCCTCCTTTCCACACTTTTTTTAAATCAAGAATACAAGATAGCACAAGGTTATCTTTGTGTGTGAAGTATTCCTTTACCTGGTTGTTAATGACAATATACTTTTTCTTTCTCCCCTTCAGCTCAGTTTGAACATGGTACCTAAGATACTGTCCCCGCTAGTGAAAGACTGGGCCCCTCAGGCTTTTGTCATTTCTTTTAAGCTGGAGACAGATGCATCCATCCTGCTGGACAAGGCTCGCCGGGCTCTGGCCACCTACAGGCATCAGGCGGTGGTGGCCAACGTGCTGGACTCCAGACGGGGCTATGTGGTGGTGGTGACCCCCGAGACCCAGGCTGAGCTGATCATCTCAGAGGAGGATGCCAAGAATGAGGTGGAGATAGAGGAGAGGATAGTGAGCAACCTGACGTCAGCGCACGACAAGTTCCTCACTCAACAAGGGGGCTGACAGAAATCACCCATACTGCACACCTGAGTCATGAGTTGTTGTCTGTGCGCTCACTCGTTCCTGAGCTCGGCTTGAATAAATACTTTAAATCATATTGATAATATAACCTTGGTAATAACTTTAAAACACATCCTGCCTTCCCATGACCTTTCTAATGTACATCATCCAAGCTTTGATGACTGTTTCTGTACAATGACAAAACACAAGTTAATGAAAGTTTATTAAATGTTTATTCACATTGTGCAATGAACTAGAAACAAAGTAATGTTATTGCCTTTTCTACACAAGGGACTGACGGTTGAATAATTCAGTGACATGCTTTACTACAAATCTATAATAAAAATCAACAAGTTTAATCCATTGGTATTTTTTTCAACCCCTGGCTCCACGTATTGGACTCTTGTTTGGTTACTTAAGTTTGACGCTCTTCTTGACGCCAGCACGAATACCAGAGCGCTCTCCACTGTATCTCGTCTCCTCCCGACGAACCTCTCGGACCTGGGGAAATTGAACGACCTTGTCAACTGCTGAACTTGTTTTTCAACATATACTCTGGATTCAAACTGATGAGCCTGCAGTCCTCAGAAGCTTCATGATGCACTGAAACAGTGTAATACAAATGTTCTCATCAATGTATGGAATACAAACCTGGCCCTTTCTGCGGATCTTGGCCCGTCTGAACTTCTCTCTGTGCTTGACTCTGGGATTACGGTCAATCTTCTTCCTCTTTGGTGTGAGCCCCTTGTTCTTCGACATCTGTGAAATTGGAAGAGTTACATAATTAGAATAACTGAACAGAAATGACAAAGTTTAAAGTGGCAACAGACAACTTCTCCCCCGTAAAACTTCAAAAGGGTACTATTGTTGGCGCAACTGTCGCAAAGACAACCAAAATCCCTTTCCACTCAAACACCGGACACACTGCGTTCAGTTGTTCACAACTTTGTGCTGTAAATAAAGCTTTCCCAGGAGATTGTACCTGGTGTCACTGTTTTATAGCTTTCAATTATGCAATCTAATTTCATAATGATAAGTTAAAGTAACTCAAAATGAAATGCATTAAGTGATCACGGTGTAAGGGGCACCAAATATGAAAAAAAAAACGTTTTATAAGCAACTCTGATGTACTTGTTACTTCCCTGTACCAAAGATCTATAAAAACACACATTTTACCCTCTTTAGTTTTTCTTCAAAAACTGAGAATGAAATTGTCTACATAGAGACAAGACATGCGCTGCCGTAGCAGTACAACTAAATACGGTTTATTTAATGTAAACATGTAAAAAAATGTATTCAGCTTTGTTATTCAAGCAATAAAAAAGTCCAACTTCCAGGAGTATAACTTGCATTTATGTCTAAGTAACTGTCAGGATTAATTTACCTACTCGGAAATGATCACCTGCTCTGAAGGTGTTCTGATAGATCTGTTATATTATTACTATTAACTTCCAGGTGAGAGTGTCTGACTAGCTATTAATACTTCAGAGTGCTAGTGGTTGTAACACTGTACCTGGTAAGTAATGCCTCTCTTAGCATCTGGATCTTCCTCCATATATTCCTTCTCCTCCAACCTGCAACAAATTCACATTGATCAGATACAGAGTTGATCTTGTCCAAACAGCCATTTTAAAGACTCAAATCAAACGTACTCTTCTGTTTCTGGTTCTTCGACCTTTCTCTTCAATTTCGAACGCTCCTCCGCATCTCTGTAGAAACGCAGAGCCGCTTCCTCGTCCATATCAGAGTCAGAGTCATCCTCCACCCCAGGCATAGGTTCTTCAGAATCCTGCAAACAACGTGTTCTCATTACCATTCAAGAGTCATACAAAACAACAGCAGTGGATCTACATCGAGGATGCTCTTCAGTTTATGCAATAGTGTTCAAAACCGAACACAAAAATCTCACCGTTCCCTTCTTATTGGAGACTTTGGCCTTCTTGCCCTGTGCAGGTTTGCTGGATTTATCTTTCTCCTCCCCAGCTAGCAGCTTGCGAAACTGCGGTGCAAGCCGAGCATCCACTGAACTGAGTTCATTGATGAGCTGCAGGAAGGTATTCAAGCGTTAGACACAGGGTTCTAATAGTCATTTCTGGCATTTTCAAACGACAGTAGCATCAAAAAATGAATGACACTAAAGGAAGCCGCTGTAGATAGATAGATCAATAGATCAATAGGTAGGTAGGTAGGTAGGTAGATAGATAGGTACTTTATTGATCCCAATTTGGGAAATGTTTGCATTGCAGCAGCATAAAAAACACAAGGAAATGTACATAAGAGAAACTAAGACAGAGAAATAAAAACAGTCCAATATATTTCAGAAATATAAATAAAATAGCATTAAAAAGTTCAAAGATAAAAAATATATACATGTGGAAAATATACAAAAGAAATTAAAAATATACATGTGGAAAATACAAAATTCCAGTAACAAATATAATGCAAATATAATGCTCTTCCTTGACATATAGAATGAAAACACAATCGCTAATACTACTTTACTAATGCTATGTTCCCCTGGCAACAGGTGTCACTGTGTGTGTACTCACATTTCTGAAGATGAGCAGTCGTTCAATCACAGGATGGTTATGAGCAGGGATTCGCTTTGCTTTCAGCACCATGTAGAAACTGATGTTCGTGCAGTAACTGCGGCAGGAAAGAATAATTAGCCACTAATTAAAAAACACGTTGACATGATCTAACAACAAGCAATAATAATTGATTCACAACTAACTTGAGATACAGCTGCTGTTTTGTCTTGAGGTAGTCAGCACCCTTTGGAAAAAAGCACAACAATTGGTTAGGAATTATAAAATGGATTGCCTGAGCTACATGACAGTATTATTATGTGGTTTGGTACTTCTGAAGACAAATGGACATTACAAGCTTACAAAACAGACACCAATCATCATAAAATATAACAGTAGCCATCCCATCTAATGATCAATCCAGTTACAGCTATTTAAAGAACCTAATCAGAGCCACGGTTGATTTCAATGTGGATTCTCATACAGCCAAATGTTAATGTGCTCACCTTTCCTGGAGGGATCTTTCCATCCTTGACCATCTGGACAAGAGGCTGCAGCTCGTCTTTCAGCTCATTTAGCTGCACACATACAAAATACTTCACATCAATAACATGTTGGATTGTGGTAACTATGCAAGTATCTTTTGGCTTATTAAAGCTGAGGTTTTTGTTGGGAAAATACTGAATGTACTCTTTGAATATCAGAGTAGCACATGATAACAAAGGCCCTATGTAGCTGTGTACGTAACAGGATGTATGATTACATAGATGACGCTCATGAGACACTGTGTTTTACATACGATAACTATGTTCCTACGATTAACATGATGATTCAGCATCTATGGAGATAGACATATGACTGTCATGTTTCTTGTTTACGCAGGCCTTAGCTAATCTGAACTAAGCACAGAATACTGCTTTGAACCGGTATTCTGCATCTTGTGACTGTAACACCCTCTCTTGTATATAAGCATGTCAAGGACACTGTTCTGGGAACTATCTGTCCCATGAAGCTTTGTATGTGATCACTACTTCCTTTCTTGCAGGATAATAAATACATGTATCTTGATATTGAAGATCAAGCCGGTGACGAGTGATATTTCTCTAACAGTTTTTAACACATTGGTTTTGGTTGAATGCCTGTGTTTTACCTTTGCTTTGAAATCCTGAATAAGTTCAAGCAGCTCTGGTGACTCCTTTTTCAAAAGTTTCATTTTCTCTTTCTGGGACATTTGCTTCAGATCTTTGACAATCCTTTCTTGTTTTCCCGCAGTCTTGTCATCATCCTTCTCCTCCACAGCAAATTCCTTCATTTAGACAAATCAAACAATCACAATTAAAAACATTTTCTATCATTACATTTTCATTTACCTGCAGGTGTACCAAAGAGAATAACAAAATACCTGGAAGAAGTTTAAATCATAATCCTCCTCGCTCAGATTTGCAGCTAAACGTTTTTGGATATTTTTAGCTTCTTCTTCTTCCTCTTTTTCCTCAGCTTCCAGCTCATCCTGCTTTTTACCCTCTGTAATAACACAAATACATTTTTGTCAATATTAGCCATTTAGAAAACCAGAATTACCCAGATAATATTGGTGGAGATAAAAGATGCTTACTCGTGGCCCCATAGTCAGAGTCATAGAACATCTTCTTCTTGGTGCCCCATGCCATTTCATTAGGAAGATCTGAGGAAGACAGCAAGGTTACAGTTAAATAGGCTTGTTTATAGACAGTGAGGCAAAACTCTTCGCAAAAAAAGATAGATTGTATGTTTACCGTCTTCTTTTTTCTCCTCTAGATCACTTTCCATATCTGTCCCCTCCTCTTCCTCTTCTCCCTCCTCATCATCTGACTCCGAATCATCCAGAGCCATCACTTCCTCCTGTGAAATTCAGATGAGCTTGAATTGGTTCTTGATTTACATTTATTTAATGAATATAAATCCTAGCAAACACATAAGTCATTACCTCCTCATCAATTTCCTCCTGGTCGCTCTCCATTTGAACACCGCTGGCAAGAAGTTTCTGTGACAAAGAAAACACGCAGCAAAACAAATATATATATAAGAGAACGTAAACACAGCAACCTCCACATACTGAAGAACTACTAATGAGGAGGACTTACTGCAATCTTGTCATCATGAAACTCATCAATTTTGTCCTTTGCGTACTGTGAGGATTTCTGAAAGGAAGAGGGAAGACATTCAAATATGACGTTAAAATAATCTACAACACCAAAACAGAGTTGAAGTTAGGAAAGTTTGTTGATGGTTAAGAGTCACGTGATTGATGTACGAGATATATATCACCAGAGTCTGGTTATTACAAGAAGATAACAGTATTATAGAAACATGTTCAAAATGTTGTCAGTTTGCAAACATTTTTATTATTTGAAACCTAGCCACATCTAGTTTAGATTTAAAGGAGAGGTGTCATGGCCATTTCCACTGATCATAATTCCATTGTTGAGGTCTACTAAAATAGATTTATACTGTGCATTTTTCCAAACTCACATTGGTTTCTCATACAGCATCTCTGTAAACTACTTGTATTCACTGAATTTCACTCTCTGCCTTTAACGGCTCGTTGTAGCTCCCAAAGCTCCAGCCCCCACCCTCCCTGTGAGCACAGTGTGCTCTGATTGGTCGGGACGTTGTGAATCGCGCTGAGCTCCGTGGAGGTGTTGTTTCCTTGTTTAGGATACATAGCGAAACACAGCCAAACTCATCCTGAGCACACACAAACTCACAGCCGAAGTAAAAACAATAAGTGTGGCTTGATATTGAGTAAGAAAAAGGTTGATAAACGCTGTGAGAATGGGTCTGCAGAGAGA